AAAATAATATTTAATATTAAAACAAATATAAACATTTAAACAAATACAATATGAGATCTTATTATCTAAAACTTTAGTAAATACATTTATTACAGAAAAAGATGAACATATCCAAAAGGTGATAATGAAGGATAGAGTCTGATGTGTTTCCTGATATTGCTTCTTCAATGATAATATTATAAGGAAAACATTTGTTTTGTTAAATATATATTTTATTTATAAAGAAATATAGATGACACATGTCTGTATTGTTATATAGTAAACAGGCAATATTCTACGAACAAAAAAAAATCACTTCCAGACAAGATCTACTATAATTAGATCAATAAAAAAATTAAGTTGCTAAACTACTTCTTAAGTATTATCTAAATGCCTTTTTGGATTTGCATGCAATAGATAATAAAACTGACAATGTATTTAGACATCTAAGATACAATCCATGCATACATTCTGAATTAAAATCTATATTAAATATTTTTTTTGTTCCAGTGTATTTTTAATACAAAAACGTAATTTTGCTTTCTAATAAAGAATTTGCCACTCTCTAAGTCAGCCACAGGTGACTGACTCAGAGAGTTTTGTTCCTAAACCAAAGGTCTTATATATTCATGCATGAGATCTTACTGCGTATGCATTGGTTATTTTTGGCACTTATTAATACTTATAACTTGCTAATAACATTTCCATCTACTTATTGGGTTTTCTGTATTAATGTTATTGGGAAACTGATTGGTACATTTTAGAAGCTGTGTTATCCAGTTATCAGCAAATTTCAGTTTTCCAATTAAATTCAAAAATGTAAATGTAAGTATGACTTTCAGCAAGAAATTGACACTAAATAAAATAAAAGTAATAATAATTTCAAAATAGTCATTATTTCAGCTATAAGTTATATTTAATCAAATCAATATGTATATTAAATCAAATCAATAGGTATATTAAATCAAATCAATATACTGTAATATTAATTCACAAGGCAGGTAGCTTTGGGGTGTTCACAGTTAATTTGTTCAGGTCAAAATGATACAGTTCTTCCATGACTCATCACCACAGCTTTAATTATTGCATACTGAATAAGCTACACAGCCTTTATCATTATACTGCAACACAATGTGTAAATGGGTCTTTTAAATATCAGTTCAATTTAATCATAAGCCCCTCTTAATAAATACATATTTTTTAGCAATAATATACTGTTGTATATCATAAACGTTTCAGTATTTTATTTTTAACATTTGAAATTGTAAATTATTTTATGAAATACAATGGAAATGAAAACAAATATAAAAGTAATATATTTCAATAAAACATAATTTACTATAATAAAAATATAATTTAAATATAATAAAATAAGAAATACATACTGCAATGAAAAATAGATAAAGAGAAACATTGATTTTAACGGAATCCATTTTCTGAGGCAGAAATAAAATATAGAAAAATAAATAAAATTGTAAAATAAATAGTAAAACAGTGGTTAACATAATTATACCAGGGTGTGAATAATGCCCTGTATATTTTTCTGTTCCTCTATAAAAAGATTTTTTTTTACATTTTTTTTTAACACCATTCAAAATAAAAAATATATTGCATTCTGTCTATGATTTGGTATGGCAAGTTGCATATTGTTTTCTGCTGAGATGCATTGTTTGTTACCCACTTAATGGGAAGTTTAGAGACAGTTTCAGAAAATGAGTTTTTTCGCAGTCATTAGAGTATTCTTCAGTAGCATTGCAACTGTAACTGGTCCAACACCTCCAGGAACCGGAGTGATAAAATCTGCCTTTTTCTTCACCTCTAAAATAGAAAAAAAAGAAAAAAACAAAGAAAACAAACACACACTTAATGTTATATTGTGACTGGTTAAATATAAAATCATTGTGTTGACGTTATACACTAATCTAATTGTGGAGAATTATAAAATAAATGTAAAGATTTAGACAAATGTTGGATATTTGTATTTTACTTTGGATTGCAGATCACTACAATTTGGTAATAAATACATTGTTATGTGCTATAAAATTAAGTATCTCTAAATGGGAAACTCAAAATATCACCTTGCATAGGACTTTTCAAGAAAACAAAAATGGAAAAAAGTTTTCAAAAAGAATTTGGAAAATCGCACTTTCTGCTTATACATAATTTAATTTATACATATACTATGTTTTCTTTGCAAGGCGATAGTGCTATTTATATATGCACAATATCCCAGGTAGAGCAAATAAAAGGATAGCAGAAGCTTGTTGGTGTCATAAAAGTAAAGAGTTATTCCAAACATCATAAACATAACAGTTTGCTCTAGCGGCTATAATATGCCAGGAGTACCCAGGCACCATTCCCCGCTAATGGACCAAATACATTTGTACACAGAACAAATACAGCCATGATCCACAAAAACAACCCAGGCTTAATGTGCCAACAGTATGTGCTAAGATAGGAGACTGAGGATACAACCCATTCACCAACGTAACCCTCAGGAGAATTCTCCAGTATTCCAATGGCCACTGTGAACCTTATTACATCCAAAAGCTAATTACAAATTGGTAAAATCTGAACAAAGTCTTTGTTTTGCTGGAATCCAGCATAGAGTACTCTAAACAGCTGTGACCTACAATATTGGATATTTTATACTTGAAAAAGCAGTGTATTAACAGATGGCATTCTATCGCATATTAAGACTGGCTTCAAGCTATTTTGGCTAGGAGCATTAACACTGTATGTCATTGTGATTACTGTAAAACAGTGAACAGCATTTAGTATCTTGATGTGCTATTGCATAATATTACTTGGGAGCTAACATGAAAAGAATCAGCTATCAACGATCAAACCAGAAGAAACTGAGATGCTATTTCGTAAAATCCCTACAATACCTAAAAGATAGCAGTAGAGTTCCATTGTTTCCCATACTAAATGAGACGGCTAGTGCATGGTTACATGTATAACCCAGTGCTCCAAAGTACAGAATAAATACCTTCCCCTACAATACCATAAAGGTCTACTCCAAACCCTACCCGTAACACTAGCTCTACCCCTACATCTATCTACATGTCTA